AAGTCAGCTCCACCTCTGCACCAAAACTGAGCCCATCAGCTGCGCCTCTGCGATAACGTATTTAAGAAGGGACGTGGTGACGGGCAGTCGGACTTGTGAGGAGGAGTTGCTGCAGCTGCGTGAACACCAAGGTCAGTGGAGGAACGGAGGAAGAAAGGAGGGGGGAGGTGTGCCGGAGCAGACACCCCCCTGTATCCTGTGGTGAGACGGCAGGGCGGCCCCCCCTGACACCCATGGAGATCTATGGTGGAGCAGACACTGATTTATGGCCTGTGGCTTCCACCCGATTGATCAAGGTGCTATGCCCGAAGACGGTTGGGGTCTTGTGGGAAAAGGTAGCCCAGCTGCTGTAATTCAGCACTGGGAGGATTGCAGCATGCGGGGGAGTCCCACACCGGAGCAGTGTAAGGAAATCCTGCAGCCGTGGGAGGGACTCATGTCAGAGAAAGTTTGTGGAGGACTGTCTCCTGTGAGAGGGGGACCACGATGGAGCAGGGGGAAGAAGTTCCAGAAGCTTCCCCCACTGAACATGGCAGAAGTGGCAGCACTGACTTCACCCCCCATTCCCTGCCCCTGCGCCACTGGGGGAGGAGGTAGAGATATCGGGAGCAGAACTGAGCCCGGGAAGAAGGGAGGGGTGGGGGTAAGGTGTTCTCAAGATGTGGCAATAGTTCTCACTGTCCTACTCTGTTAAGTGCTGTTAGTGTCTGTAATAAATGGATGTTCTTTTTTTTTTCTTCCCCTAACGAGTCTGACTTTTGCTCATGACCATAAGGGGTGATCTGCCCCTCCAAGTCCTTTCTCAAATCCCAAACCTGGCTCATTTGTCCCTTCTTATTGCCAGAAGAGAAGGGGGAGTGAGTTGCTGTGTAGTGTTTGGCTGACAACCAGACTCAAACCACGACAGTGTGTGCGTATGAGTTACCTCCACTTATGTGAAAACCTCTCATAAGAAGAACCCTATAAGCCACCAGGTGTGAAAGGAGCCTGAGAACATTTCTTTCTACTCCCAAAGTAAGCCTTGAAACACACTGCTTAGCTCCCAGACAACTCTGCCCCGTGGGGCAGCTAGGTTGCAAGGTGCATTGCCCAGCCCGACAGACGCTGCTTTGGTGGTCGTTGCAGGGCTGGCATCCCATCCCTGGTTGCACTTCAAAGCACTGAAGTCTTCCTGAGCAATATTTCTTCTCTCAGCCTGCAACATCTCTCCTCAGCCGTGGTCATGGCAGCAGCAGCAACCACAGCGTGGGAGGTAGCAGGTTTCACTGTCAGACTGGAAAGGTTTCCGCACCTTAGGTTAAATCACTGCTTTCAGAATTGATTTATGGGCATAATTATTCATACACGGAAGGATTTTCAGGCAAATGTATGCCTTTGGCATGGAGGAGACAAGCACAGTCTCCCAGTCCTACTTCTCATATGGCCATCACTGCAGGCTCCTGGAACGTGGTCCTGTATTTGGGAGGTAAAGCAAGGGTTGGCATGGGGGGGGGGGGGCTGTGTGAGCTTCTGTCTCCCTTCCCCAGCCTCAGCCACAGCGTGCTGGTGGCCTGGCCCCAACGGGGGCTGCTGGACGCAGCTTCTCAGGCAGCAGCAAACCAACAACCATTTTGTGGCAGGATCTGGCCTGTGTGGGACAGCAGCCCCCAGCTCCCAGCCAGGGTTTGCCTAGCTGTGTGCTGTTCACATTAGATAATCAACCCCTCTTGGAGAAAAAAAGAGGGCAATAAATATTCCCTGCCTTGGGGGTCCTTCGTGTAATAACAGTCAATATCTGGGTAGCGCAGAAGCAGAGAAGAAAGCTTTCGCTGCGGTGTTGGGGGATGTATTTGAGCAAAGCAGGAGCGATAAAGGTGTTGCCTGTGCAAAGCTGCATCGAGGCCTGCACCATCTTCCTCTGGAACCACAGGTAGAACTGATGTCTCCAAAGGTCCTGGTGCTATCGAAGCCCGTGCCAGGTGCACCCGAGGAGGGAAAATTGCTCTGAATCTTGCACAGCTTTTCTTTAAAATAATTAACACTGAATACATATGATTCCCTGGGACATACCTCTCCCATACGTGCCCAAAGGACTTGAATATTGCCCAAGAAGGAAATAAAAGACATCTCACACTTTTCATCTCTTGCCTAATTTTAAAAGTCAGGATTTTTAGAATGTCTTGTGGGAAAACTATCCTAGGTTTAAAGGTGATTAAATAGAAATTGTGAGCTATTTCATAATATAAACGATGAACTATTTCATAATGGGGGATGTCTCATAGGAAAAACTTACATGTCTGGACAACTGTTTTTGGTGAGATGACATGGCACAAGAACTCTAGCAGCGTTATAACTGTCCATGTCAGCCTTGCTTTTCACCAGCATGGTGCCAGGCTGGTTGCTCTGCCAAGTGAAGGTTACTGTGAACCTTTACCTCTACAAGATCCCAGAGCTGTCTTTATTCAGTTAAAGCTATTTTTTCCATTGATACAGTTGTAAAAGGGATGAAAACATTATATATATATATATATATATATATATATATATATATATATATATATATATAAAGTGCTAAACCCGTAAACTATGTCAATTATTTGAAGAAAAAGACTATTCATTAAAACTAAACCATGCGGGTCTGATTCTACTTCCACTCATAAAAATACTTTGGTGCCACGGTCAAACAATTAATATCAGTTCTACAACCTCTCCGTTTTTACAGCGGTGCACAGAGAAAATCGAAACTGAATGTGTTATACTAGAGAAAGGACAGGCAAAATTTCAGCCACCGTGCATGCTGTTTACCCAGGGCGATGCGCTGTATGGATCTTAGCAGAAAATCGTGGTATTTATGTGATAGACATCCTTTCTGCATCTAGATCTATTTTTATAGTGGCTTCTGAATTGCAATTTCAGTGCCAGACATTGGAAAAGGTGTGTGGAAATTGCTCCATTGCGTGTGACCAGTGACGGGTTGATGCTAATAAATAGTGATGAGAAGTACTGGGGTTTAAAAATGTCTTTATGACACACCAAAGTTTGAGAAATGTTACTTTAATTAATACGGTGCTTTGCTTCTCAAGCAGAACAGCTTTATTTGAATTTTGCTTATGTAATCGTTAGTAAAGTTCTCACTCATTGACTGCGTTTTGATGAATAAGAATATAATGATAAATTTCTCAGGCAACTTGCAGGAAAAAATGACCAGAAATGTCCCTGTTTGCACACGCATCTTAATGCCCCCCAAAGGAAAGAAAAGCAATAGGCAAATTACACTTTCAGCTCAAGTCTCCACCTTCTTATTAAAAGTCTCATGTAAGGTGGAAAAAAAAAAAAAACAACAGAGCTGTGGCAAACTACTCCCTCTTCCCCTCTCTTTCATCCGAGGGACTGGGAACATCCTCTGGCCAGGGTGGGACAGGCCTTCCTCCTCCTCCTCCTCTTCCTCCTCCCGTGGCACTCCTGGACCCGCCGGGCGGGAGCGTCTGTGGCGGTCCCAGAGGGATGCTCGTGGGGTTGCTGCTGCCGGGCTCTCCCCGTCGAGGAGAGGAGGCAAATCCTCCTAACCCACAGCAAACCCGAGCAGCTCCTGCTTCCTTCCAGCCGGTATTTTCTGTTACTAAGTTTGCGTGCCTTTTTTTTTTTTTTTTTTTTTTTTTTTTAATTATTTTTTTCCTCCCTTAGCTGAACTTCCCACGCTTTTGGAGTCGGTCGCTGGAACAGATCCTTCCCCTTGTACAAAATGCCTGTGTTGCCGCCGTGTGGAAAGATGCTTCTGGCAGCAGACGGGCAGCGGCTGAAGGGAAGCCCCGGGCTCTTCCCCAACGCCGGGCCGGCCTGGAAAATAACGCCTGGGAAAAGACACTGCACCCCGGCGGGGGGGGGGGGGGCAGCCGGCCCCCAGCCTCTGCTGGGATGTAAAGCCACGTCTGCAGAGAAAAACCATGCAGAGAGCCACGCCGGGCCGGGAGCTTGTGCTGTAGGGAGGTTTCTTCTTTCCGAGGCAGAGTCTGAGCTTGCCGGAGAAGTAGAGGAGAGGCAGGAGCTTTTCCCCAAAGGAAAATGTCCCTGGGACCAGCCTTACCCCCTCCCAGACACGTCCCGCTCTCGGCTCGCACCCCGATCTGCCTCCGCTCGCTGCCCGGAGATCATCCGCGGATTTTCTGTGGCATCTCTGGGCGCATTCTGCCCACCCCGCGGGGAGGGGAGCGCAGCCCTGCGCGCCGGCGGAGCCCCGACGGCCGCGGAGCCGCGGCCGCAGCGCAGCGTCTCCCGCTGCCGGAGCCCGAAGGAGAGTCTGGCTACCTGTGCCGGTCATCGGGGGAGACAAATCCTGCCCGCAGGATATTCGGGAGCGCTTTTTTTTTTTTGTTTTGTTTTGTTTTTTGCCTTTTTTTTTTTTTTTTTTTTTTTTTTTTTTTTTCACCTCAAAGTCAAAAGAAAACGAAACAAACCAGATTCCAGTTTCCAAAGAAGTGAGCAATAGTCCTGGGGGAGCCCTCGGTAGAACCGATGCCCCGGGGCCTCTAGAAGGGACGGGGACGGCGGGGTGCCAGCCCCGGGAAGGTTTGGGACTCTCGGCTCCGCATCCGCGCTTGTGCAGCGCCGGGCGCCGCGGGACCTGCGCCCGCTTCTCCTCCGGTTTCCAGACCGCTCCGTGCACCCGGGGCTGCACGCACCGTCGGTGGCCGTCGGAGACCAGCCTTCCCCGGGGGAAGCTGCCCCGCGGGGGCCCGCTGCGGCGTGGGGTGGCCCGGGGAGAGCTGCCCCAGCTCGCTGCCATCCCGGCGGCTCGCCCCGGCCTCCTCCCGCGGCGAGCCTCTCTTCGCTACAGCCGAACACCTTTCAGTTAATTTTCGCAGGACGGGAGTTTCGAAGTGGAGGCGCCGAGTTTCCACGGGGGAAAGCGAGCGAGGGTCGGCCGCGGCACGGGAACGGCGGCGGGGAGCCGGCGCCGGCCTCTCGGCTTTCTCCCCGGACCCATCCTCTTCCTCGGCCCGGGGCGTGGGGCTCCCCGCGGCTCACCGAGAGTCCTGCTGCCTTCTGGGGGCGAGGCTGGGGGCGAGCAGGTCCCTGGAGGCCTCCGAGGGCAGGTTCCCGGGTGGGCACGGCTGGAGATCCTCCTTGCCCTGGAGCTCCCCGGAGGACACCACACAGTCTTGCTCGGGGTCATTGCTGTTGCCCGCCCCTCGTTTTTTGTCCTCTTCCTTCTTCCACTTCATCCGCCGGTTCTGGAACCAGATCTTGATGTGCCTCTCGGTCAAGTTCAACATGACGGCCAGCTCTACTCGCCGTGGCCTGGAGATGTACTTGTTGAAGAGAAATTCCTTCTCCAGCTCCAGCAGCTGCGCCCGGGTGTACGCCGTCCTCGTCCGCTTGTTCTCCTCCGGCTCCACCACGTAGGACCCCCCTGAAAAGAAGGAAGAGTCAGCCCCGGCCCGCCCGGCAGCCCACTCGGGCTGCGGGGGGCCACGTCCCCGCATCCCTGCGCGGAGCGGAGGACACGCGAGGGGAAGCAAGCGGCGTGAGGAGGCTGCCTCGGGGAGCCCCCCCCGGCCGGGCACAGCAAGGAGATGATGATGGCGGCAGTCACGACTGCTGCTATTTTATTTTAGGACAATTTTGTATTTGTTTATAATCATTTGGTCGAAGTTTTCAGGGAAGCGCGGTCCCTCGAGACGAGGGAGAAGCTCAAGAGCCGCCGTTTGCATGTCGCTGAAAGCTCTGAAGGGCTCCTGGATCCAGGGCCTGGAAATTGCTCAGATTCGTGTAAAGAAAAAGGGAAAGAAAAAGGAAAATTAAAAGGCAAAGATAAATAAAAATAAAAATAAAAAAAAAAAAAAGAAAGAAAAATGAAAAGAAAAAAATAAAAAAAAAAAAAAGAAAGAAAAAAATCGGAAAAAGACCCGAACAAACCCCCCAGAATGGAAAACAAACAAACAAACAAAAAAACCCAAACCAAAACAAAACAAAATAAACCAAAATGAAACAAACAAAACCCACCACCAAAAAAAACAATAATAATTTAAAAATTACTTTCGTGTGTGCCACAGGCACAAACAATCAAACAAAAGATAATTTTAAAACTAAAATTAAGCCTCACCTCTCCGATAAAGGCCCCGGAGGAGGAGCTGGCCCTCCAGCGGAGGCTCCGTGGGGCGCGGAGGGGTCCCGGGCTGGCGGGTGGCCACAGGCCGCAAAAAGGTGAGGGGGGAAATCTCACGGAACGGGAGTTTGGGGGTTTCTCCTCGGATATCGCCACCGAGCAGCCCCGGGCCCGCGGGGATTTCGGCCCTTTCCCGACTGCCGGGACGCCCGTGGGAGGCAACGGGGCGGTTGCCGCGCCGGGAGCCACGGCCGTCCTGAGTGGGAACTGGGGCGCGGGTGGTACCGGCGGCGGCGGCGAGAGGGGCCGGGGATGGGACTGAACCCCACGGCCGCTACCACCAGAGCCGGGAGCCCGGCTGGGGAGGCTTTTGGTGGCGATAGCATCTGTAGGGAACAGTGGATTAAACAAACAGACTGAAACTGCCATTTCAAGAGAACAACGCGGCCTCTCCCGCCTCTCATCTTCCTATCCCAGTGATTTTATATCTATAATGTTCATAAATATAAACCTATGCATATAAACTTATGCGTGTATATATATATATTTAAAATATATGTTAAAAATGCATGTCTATACAGAAAACTGTTTATAAATGCAAATCTATGCATACACACCTATGAATCTCTATATTAAAATAAATGTATATGCATAAAAATGCTTGTAATTATAACGCTACGTATATACACGTATACATGTGTATGGATCTGAAAAAAATTGTTCTGTTATGGTTAACTAAATCAGCGCTGCCGGGAAGGCGGAGCCCCTGGGGTCTGTCGCAGGGCCGCGGCCGGGTCCCGGGGCTCTCCGGGCCGCCTTCCCCTCCGTGTCCTGCCCACGGGAGACGGCTGGGGCGGCAAGCCCGGAGCCGGGCACGGCGGGCGGCACCGGGTCGGGTCCGGCCGCGGCCTCTGTGGGCTCCTTCCCCCGGGAATAACAACGCAAAGCCCCGCAGCATCCGTTCGCGCCTAAATCCCAAGGGTTTCCACGCGAAAAAGCAACCCTTAGGCTATAGAGTTTGCAATATATACCGTACCACGTATACTGGGGTTTGGCTACGAGCGTTATGTAGGCGCCCGGTATAGCGCTGTGGCCCTTTCGCTGCCGGGGCGCGCACCGTGCACCCGCGACGGGAGCGGCCCGGTGCGTGCGTGGGCTTGCACACTCAGCGCGTGTACCGTGTAAAGCTGCCTCACGATCCTTGCCTGGACGGCCCTGGGAAGAGTTTTCGGCTTTTATGGAAAAAGTTTCGTTTTGATGCTGGTGTTAACATTCCTCGGGTACAGGAGTTAAAAAAAAAAAAAAAAAAAAAAGAAAAAAATAAGGGGGGTAGTTCGAGAGCTTGGATTGGCCTTTTTTTTTTTTTTTTTCCCTTTTTTTTTTTCGCTCCCTCCCCCCTTCGAAATTCGATCAACCCAAGGAAAACTATATGATTTTCTCTCCACATCCTGCCCCCTCATTCCCCCCCCGCCACAATCTCCGTTGCCGAGTCCGTGGCATGGGGCAGCTCTCCCCTCCCCTTCCCGACGGATGCGCCTCCGTGGGGACTGGGGACCGCCGCCTGTCCTTCCTCCCCCCTCGGTCTGCCACATGCAATCCCCAAACTATTTCACTGTGATTTTAATACTCCGGTCTTTTTTTCAACTGTCTATTTGAACAAAGCCATTAATATAATATTTGCCGTATAGGCGTGACAAAGGCGCAGGACACGATAACATTGTGCAGGCAGAGACAGAAATATTGTTGGGCAGCGGAAATTTCTGCCTAGATAGAGTTTCTTCCCCTCGCTGGCAGCTCTGTTTCGTTTGTGCATTGTTTCCCCCGCCCTCGGTTTTCACTTGGAAAGGTGCAATTACGGCTAAAAAAACCCCGGGAAGCAGGAGGGGGGTGGGATAAGAGAGAGCGGGAGGGGAGATGGGCTCTACCGCCGTGGGGCGCCGTGGGGAGCCTGGAGGCAGCGGAGAGGGGCCAGGGGGCCGCCCCCGGGGTTTCGGGGGTCTGCTTAGCGGTCCACGCAAGGACGTGGGGCAGCCGGGCCGTGCCCGGCTCTTGCAGCCCTGCCTGCCGCTTCCCCTCCCGCTCCACCTCTCGGGTGTCTGCGCGCCCTCGGCCTCGCCCTGCGCGGCTTCGGCCCACGCGCGGAGCTCACCCCACGCGCGGAGGTCCCCGCACCCGCGGAGCGGCCGCACCGCGCAGCTCCCCTGCTCGGCGAGGCAGCAGCGCCCGGGGAGGCGTTTGCGCGTCGCCCCCGACTTGGCGACTATTAGTTAATCGGTGCAAAAGGATTCGTTAGCAATTGCCGGGGGCTTGGGGAGGGCGGGGAGCGGCGAGCCCGGCGGCGGGGAGCGGAGGGCCGGATCCCACGCCCGCGTTCAACCCGACGGTAGCAGCCCTACAGCAGTGGGTCTTGAGGGGCTGGCAAAGGGGAAGGAGGGTCCCGGGGAAGCGATCCTCCAGGACCTCTCCGCGCTACACCCCAAAGGGGGGAGCAGGGCCGGTGCAGGGGAGGGTTCCTGCCCACCGGGAGGGAGAGAAGCGGCGGGGCAGCGGCGCAGGGAGGCGGCGGGGCTTACCGGTCCACTGTCCCTTCCAGGCGTGCGATTTGGTGGACTTCATCCAGGCGAAAGGCACCTGCACTCTGGGCTCCTCTATCGCCCCCGTGTCCGCTCCGTCTGCGAAAGGCAGCGCGTCCTGGTGGGGAGGAGGAAGATGAGGGTGGTGATGGTGATGGTGGTGAAGGTGGGAGACCCCGGCATCCTCTGTGATGGGGGGCACTTCGTAAGGCGAAATGTCTGGCGGGCTGCCTTGCTCGAGAGGCCCTAAGGCGCTGGGGTAAGGAGTCTGCTGCTGCCTGCTCATGTACAGGCAGGCGGGGGGGCTGGGGTTGTAATCCTGCGCCTGGGCTCTCTGAAACGCACACGGCTCCTTGTAGAGTTGCGCCGAGGCGTAATACTGCTCCTCGGTGTTCATGGCGAGCGGGGCCGGGGTGGGGGCGTGGGGGAGTTGGAGAGGGGGGGTGGGTGGGGGGGGGATGTCTCGCAGCTTAGGGACACATAGGGCTGCTCCCGCTCCCGGAGCTCGGGGTGCCTCTTTGACAGCTCGCCGCCCCGCCGGGCCCCGCCGCCCTGCCCGGCTCCCGCCGCCTCCCCATAGGCGCCGCTCCCCCCACGTGAGCCCTCCCGTGGCCCTCCTGGGCGGGGCGCGACCCATAAGAGGCCACTCGGGGTGGCCCCGGCCCCGCAAACCTCCCCCTTTCCCCTTAGCCGGGCAGGCCCCGGGACCCCCCGACCCTACCGCAGGGTGCCCTTGGGGTGAGGAACCCCGGGGCGCGGGGGGGGGGGGGGGGGGGGCGGGTTGGGGGGCCGCGGAGAGGGGTCGGGGAATTGCCCCGACGTGAGGGGCGCTCCGAGAGGGATGGGCCCTAAACTAACCTTTTCCCTTCCCACCCCTTTTGCCCAGGGGCTGCTCATCCCCCAGCCCCCCCCCCCCCCCCTTCCTGCCCTGGGAACGGCACGGCGAGCAAAACCCCGGGGGGCTGGGAGGGAGGGCGGGACGCGGTTCCTGGAGGGGTTTGGCACCCGGGGACTTTTGGCTGCGGGCACATCTCTGTCAGGGATGCGGCAGTGGGAGCGGGTGTCCGAGGACGGGAAGGGAGCGCCGGGAGGGTCGTTCCTTCTGGGGGACTCGTGTTCCGGACCCCCGGGAGGAGGCAAGGACCGGCTTGCTGCCCGCTCACCCCCTGCCCGGGGGGATGCGGCCGGCGGGGAACCACAATGCTATCACCAAAGCGAGCGATAGGCAGCGGATTGTTTGCCCAAGGGGTAAATTTGGGAGCCTTCCCCGCGGCTCGGGCTGCAATGTGTTGACCCTCGGAGATAATCTGCTCCGAGCTGGTGCCGGTTGACTTGGTGACGAGGTTATGAGGAGGCGGAGAGCTACCGAAAGGGACAAAGATCATTTCCCTGCCTCCCTGCTCTCGGCCCGGCCGCCGTTCTCGCCGGCTCGGGGGCAGGCACGCTTCCTACTTGCCCGGCGCGCCTCCTCCCACCGGCTCTTCCCTCCCCCGGCACCGGGGCTCCGGCCGCCGCCGTCGGGGCGCGCACCCCCGGGGACGCAGCGAGAGGCGGGAGCGGGCGGCTCGGCTCGGCTCGGCTCGGCCCACTTAAACACAGCCTGGCTCGGCTCGGCTCGGCTCGGCTCAGCTCGGTTTGGCTCGGCTTGGCCCACTTAAACACAGCCTGGCTCGGCTCGGCTCGGCTCGGCCCACTTAAACACAGCTTGGCTCGGCTCGGCTCGGCTCGGCCCACTTAAACACAGCCTGGCTCGGCTCGGCTCGGCTCGGCCCACTTAAACACAGCCTGGCTCGGCTCGGCCCACTTAAACACAGCCTGGCTCGGCTCGGCTCGGCTCGGCTCAGCTCGGCTTGGCTCGGCTTGGCCCACTTAAACACAGCCTGGCTCGGCTCGGCTCGGCTCGGCCCACTTAAACACAGCCTGGCTCGGCTCGGCTCGGCTCGGCCCACTTAAACACAGCCTGGCTCGGCTCAGCTCAGCTCAGCTCGGCTTGGCTCGGCTTGGCCCACTTAAACACAGCCTGGCTCGGCTCGGCTCGGCTTGGCCCACTTAAACACAGCTTGGCTCGGCTCGGCTCGGCTCGGCCCACTTAAACACAGCCTGGCTCGGCTCAGCTCGGCTCGGCCCACTTAAACACAGCCTGGCTCGGCTCGGCTTGGCTCGGCCCACTTAAACACAGCCTGGCTCGGCTCGGCTCGGCTCGGCCCACTTAAACACAGCCTGGCTCGGCTCGGCTCGGCTCGGCCCACTTAAACACAGCCTGGATCGGCTCGGCTCGGCTCGGCCCACTTAAACACAGCCTGGCTCGGCTCGGCTCGGCTTGGCCCACTTAAACACAGCTTGGCTCGGCTCGGCTCGGCTCGGCCCACTTAAACACAGCCTGGCTCGGCTCAGCTCGGCTCGGCCCACTTAAACACAGCCTGGCTCGGCTCGGCTTGGCTCGGCCCACTTAAACACAGCCTGGCTCGGCTCGGCTCGGCTCGGCCCACTTAAACACAGCCTGGCTCGGCTCGGCTCGGCTCGGCCCACTTAAACACAGCCTGGATCGGCTCGGCTCGGCTTGGCTCGGCTTGGCCCACTTAAACACAGCCTGGCTCGGCTCGGCTCGGCTCGGCCCACTTAAACACAGCCTGGCTCGGCTCGGCTCGGCTCAGCTCGGTTTGGCTCGGCTTGGCCCACTTAAACACAGCCTGGCTCGGCTCGGCTCGGCTCGGCCCACTTAAACACAGCCTGGCTCGGCTCGGCTCGGCTCGGCCCACTTAAACACAGCCTGGCTCGGCTCGGCTCGGCTCGGCCCACTTAAACACAGCCTGGCTCGGCTCGGCTCGGCTCGGCCCACTTAAACACAGCCTGGATCGGCTCGGCTCGGCTCGGCTCGGCTCGGCTTGGCCCACTTAAACACAGCCTGGCTCGGCTCGGCTCGGCTCGGCCCACTTAAACACAGCCTGGCTCGGCTCGGCTCGGCTCGGCCCACTTAAACACAGCCTGGCTCGGCTCGGCTCGGCTCGGCCCACTTAAACACAACCTGGCTCGGCTCGGCTCGGCTCGGCCCACTTAAACACAGCCTGGCTCGGCTCGGCTCGGCTCGGCCCACTTAAACACAGCCTGGATCGGCTCGGCTCGGCTCGGCTCGGCTCGGCTTGGCCCACTTAAACACAGCCTGGCTCGGCTCGGCTCAGCTCAGCCAGTGGCGATGCGTCCCCTGAGCTGGCGGGGCAGGAGGCTCCCGGTGCCTCGCTCCTGCCCTCGGTTCCGTGGGATCATAAACCCGCCCAGTCCATTACACCGAAAATGAGTTTCCGCTCTGAACCCACGCGGGTCCCCCGTCTCTTAGAAAGCACACTGAGCCTTTGATTCAATATTGAGCCATTAAGCGATTGCTCTCCCAAGCCATTTAACAGCAGCTCTTATGGATAAATAAACAAAAAAGGCTGTAAACCAATTATAGTGCGGATAGTGAAAAAGTATTTTATTAGCGGGAATTACCGATAGACATCGCTGCTGCTCGGGCTCCCCCCCATCCCGGTGCCCTCCCTTCTCCATCCCCTGGCACGCCGGCCGGGGTTGGCAGCCGGGGGGATGCTCCGTGGTGTGTGTGTGTATGTCCCCACCGCCCTGCTCAGCCCCCCCTGCCCACGATGCCTCCCCCGAAGTCTTTTGCAGGCACGGGTGTTTTTTGATCCGAAGACTTCTTGTACATCCAGCCCAGCCCAGCACCCCAAGCCCCTTCCCCAGAGATCTGCTCCGTGGAACATTTACAGCCCCGGGTTTTCCACGGGGAACCGGCACGGACAAACAAACACGAGGCCATAAAACCCAGAGCAAATTGATTCAACTCCAGGGAGGACCATTACCTGGTGTCTTAATGCGGTCCTCTCTCTATAACGAACGTTTCTAAATAGAGCAAACACTTCCCCCTCCAAAGCAAATGAATTTCGTATAATTTAGAGCTAATTCTCTTTCATTCTGCCTGCGTGAGCAGGTGATAAGGGCACGCTCTGCCGTGCTGACAACAAGGCAGAGAGCTGCAGTGCAGGAAAAGGGCCCCGCTGGGTATCCTGGCATTGGGGACCCCAGCTGAGCCCCGGGGGGTGGTGATGTCCAGCAACCGGGGGGCCACGGGCCTGGGAGCTGAGCCCCCCCCCCCGGACCCCAAGCCTGGGCACCACCGCGGTCTGCCTCCTCCTCCTGCACTGCACTCACTGAGATCTGGGGCTGAAGAGCCCCTCCACAGCTGTGGGTGCCCAGGCAAAGCCTCTGAGCTATGAGTGGGTCCCACTGGTGTGGGAGATGTGTGAGGGAGGAGGCAGGTGGGAGTGATGGGAAGGGCCCCGCTTGCCCCAGAACCAGGCTCTGCAGACACCGCTGTGCTGACTCAAGGCAAAGGTCCAGTCACCCCACACCCTCTCCCTAAATTGATGTCCATACGCATCACTTGGGGCAGTCACAGCAGGCTGTGCACATGAGACATCACACCCAAACTCCCAGGATTTTCTGCTCCAGGGATTTCCTAAGTATGAGTGTGGATGCTGCAGTCCTCAGTTGATTCTTCCACATCTTAAATCTCCCCTGAAACCTTAGGTAAACCTTTTGCCTCCTACCACCTTGTGTCAAAGTGTTCCCCAGATTAACTGCCACTGTGTGAGGTACCGCCACCCTTTGCCGACCTTGCACTTGTCTGTGTTTAATCACTCTTAATCCTCCAACTAGAAGAGCCTTGAGATGGGTAGGCACAATGTAAGAAATTAAAAGGAGCATCATTGCCTCTTTAGCTCATATAAGGACCCCATGAGGCCAGGGACCCCTGCACACACATTGTCATCTCCCACCTGAGAACTTCCCCTGTCCTGACTCCCCAAGTTTGTGGTTTTGACAGGCTTGGAGTGACAAGAAACAGTCTCTAGGTAACCATGCAAAGAAAAAAAGGGCTGATACAAATATGTTTATTCCCACTGATGAACATACAACAGAGTTTTAACCATTGAAAACAGAGAAAAGAAAAGCAAGAGTCAGGTAGATTCTCCCTCACCTTAAAGCCTGGCTGGAGGTATGCTTCACTTCAGCTCGAGGTCCTTTACCTGTGGTAGCAAGTTTTTATGGACCATAGAAGACCCCAAAGATCTTGGGGATATTATAACTACCACGTTTGGATCACCCAGTTTCATCCGTGGAGCTTGTACTTCCAGCTCTGTGTTGTGTCTGATTCATGAGCACGGTCCCACGACCATTAACACAGTCGCAGTTCATGCTGAGAACAACCCTGGTAGATCCAGACTGTTTCCTCTAATGATCCTTTACTCCTTTGAGGTGACTTTTCTGGACTACTCAGTGCTCTCATTAAAGTTGCTGTGAGGATTTTTTTAGAAGGTAGATCCCCACAGCAAGTTTGTTATTCCA